GGTGAAAGCACTACATGGACTTTTCTCAACATGGCCTACAGATGAGACCCTTTCGCAACGATCATGCCGCTCATACACAGCTCGAACGGCTGTCTGCTAGCCGGATGTGAAACAAAGCGGTGCCTACCTCACTACCTCGCCCTGGGCAGGTGCGACGCGCAAGAAGGGCTCAGGGCTACCAATGCTATATTGGCGGTTCCTCATCATAAGTATAATAGTATTATAGGCGCCAACACCCTGTTCTATTTATTAATACCAAACGTTTGAAAAAAAAAAAAGGAAACCAACGTCTGTCTATCAACCTGGGCTCTGAGGATCGAATGCGCACTTACTGGGCAGCTCTGCATGTGCCATAGCAAGAAACACTGCCTTGCAGAGAAGATCACTACGCCTCTTGCTGTCGATTTGTAAGCAAGTACCTAATTAAACGATAGCTGAAGTCTGAAGGAATAGCTGATTATGGCTTTGCCGCAAAATGCTGATTCGCACGAACAATGACTCAATAGATACTTGCAGTTTTGACATATACATACGAGTGTATAACAACAGATACGCACATGCACATCACACACACACACACACATCGTGGCACATGTCAAATATTAAGGCCGAGTAGGCATGTACCCGTTTGTCCAATGATCCACGGATCTACTTCTCCACCCGAAAGTATAGTTTGACTGGAACATGCATACAGAAACTCAGTTGTGAGGTTGTCAGATGCCTGTAGACTGTTGTATGGTGTGGTATGGCACGGCATGGTCTGGTCTCGTCTCTTGTGGGGTTGGGTGTGGGCTGGCATGGCACGGCATGGCCATTCTGTGTGTTTGGTTTGCTGCAATAGGGCCTTCAGCGAAGAAGGGGGTCTGAAATACGTCCCACACCCTCTGCCTGTTCATGTGTATCCACACATTTGTTGGAAGATTGGTTATTTCTCGCACCTCGAGCTCTACGTCGCCGCGGCATCACCGGGGAGCGTCAGGGCTTGTCCTCTTCTTCCATGGTGTTTCTGCCACAACCTCAACAATTTGAACGAGCTCAGAACTCTAAGCCTTCGGGCCCCTAGGGCCTAGAGCCTAATCTCGAAGGCACCACCTGAGCCCTCAACAGGGACAGGGAATCGTTTCTACACTTTGGGGACATTGCCAGCTGTGGCTGTGAAGCCTTGCGAGAGCTTAGCCTCATCGAAGCGAGATCATCCCGAAACCTCAAGGTCGTCTCTTGGGTCACCACTGTGGTTTGTAGAAGCGTACATCGGCCAGGGAATAGCTCCGCCGCAAGAGCCAAGAGCAGTAGATCACAGAGACAACGTTGTTGGCGCAGAAGGCCTGGGAGAACTCACAACACCTGGGACACAGCCCTGTCTCAAAACAAGCCGGCGCGTGTGGTCTTTCCGTCCATAGTCTTCAACGTTTACGTGTCGCAAAGGCCTGTGCATGCGGCGATAGAGCCGCGACGATTCTAAACTGGGGGGGGGGGGGGGGGGGNNGGCGGCTTTGAGATGTTAGACACCGCTCCGCAACCTGCCCTTCACGCTTACAGCTCTGAGGCGACGGAGCTGCTATTTGCAAGACGACAATGCAAATGCACACGCAGGCCGCAACATGCGAGATCAGCCAGCTATACCTACATCAATCATTGGTCTCGGCCTTTCTATCACCTCGCCGGGGCGCCGTCTGGTTCACGGGGTTTGCCTCGGACATGGAATCAGAACTCTGTGGCATCTAAACACTGCAGTAGCTTTATTCTCATCTAAGACCACGTCGCCAAAAAACGGTGCATACGCTGACATGTCTTGAGCACTGCACCCGTACCATGCTTCAGCGATGAACCGAAGCCTTACTTGACTTACCTTCAATCCACATAGAAGTGAATTAACCATCTTGTAGATTTGCTCGAAAGGATTTCAATGTTGCAACCGGAGCACCCAGTGTTCCTCTCGACTGCCACCCGCAAGTGCAGCAAGGATCCGCGGCACCCGGGCAGCCAAGGAAATGCCAAATCGCCTTCATTGCTGTACCCTAAACTCAAGCTCCTAAACTCCGCACGTTAAATCCTAAACACCCCATGAACCCTAAGCATTTGTCGACAAAACGGCTCAGGCTCGATGTGAATGACAGAAGACCTCCTTGCTCGGACTCGATCTGCTCATGCGGCTATATCCAGAGTTTTGCTGCTGCTGCAACTCAAGGTACAGATTTTACTCGCGCTATTCCTCTATAGTTCCTGTGCCTACGACCTGTTGCAGTATGCCTCGGACAGTATGCCAATGATCACTATACACCTTGATTGCGACAACTACACTGTAACTACAGCATTCTCTAAGTCTTAGACCCACCTAATTTAAGCGCCAAAACCCGAACTCATGGCTCCTACCAACACTTCCTGCCTGCCTCCGATATATACAGGGGTTCTACCAGTGATATTACCTGTCCGGAAGATCTGGAATCACCACTCATTTCCTGCTTATGGTGTTGATGGCGAACATGGTGAGGGAGTGATGGTTCTGGTGGTTATGTGCCTTGATCATCTAAAATCTCAACTAGTTCAGATCCTCTGGTTGAATTCGAAAGCCCGAGGCCCAGGTATATCCCACATGACATGGGCAGCTTTCTGAAAGATCGGTCCAGGCCGCAGTATTGAAAAGGCCACCACGGCCCGAAGCTCACCCCAGAGTTCCAAGAGCAGCCCGTAGCCTAGGCTTTTCGGGCTAGATTCTCCGACACAGTGTAGCAAGGAAAAAACAAGCTCACTCCGCCACTTCGAAAGAGACCTCATCAAATTTGGCTCGGCGTTGAGCGTGGCTCCCTTCTATGATCCGAGCGGGCGATCAACAACACCGATTTAGACCCGTCCTCACGCAGCAAACTTTAAACCCTAAACGCGGCCAAGCTGCGCAAGAGAAAGGTGTTCCAGAGCAGCGTGAAGAAGAGGATTAACATGAGCAGCTGCAGGGCTATCCTGGTAGATAAAGCAATTGGCGCAAGCACTGAGAACTTTGAATGAATATGGATCCTGTTCAGGATTCCTTTGAGGGTTCCGTGAAAGTTCACAACTAGCTTTTCTGTTTATTTTATTAAAGGCCTTACGGCATTACTATGGCATAGTGGCTTGTGACTATGCTATGATTATTTGTATACTCGGGAACGAAAACAACTATTCTTCGGGACTATCAGATACATATTCATTATTCCCCAAGTCCAAACCCCTTAACTATAAGCTTTTCTGGAACATCGAACGTCTTGGCCAGACTCACATGGTAGCCAAGTGTCGGTATGGCACAAAACACCTTGGCTGCTGCGTCACAGCGCAACCAGTATAGACTATTGTAGAGCCACATCCCGAACAAGCACAGCCAAGGTACAATCGTCATGACATACTGCGAGGGATCCCACAAGGTGTCGGCAAATCCATTGCAGACACAATCCTTTGTTAGACAAGGCCGCATGTCTTGCGAGATCTAATGGCATGCAAGGCTACGGCTGCAGATGGCTCCGTTATGTGGGCTTCCGAAGTCATGAACTCGTCTGAAATTATCGGGGAGAAGCATCGGCCCAACAATCGAACATATGCGGCCGGAAGGCCAGCAGAACCACCACCAAGAGCACATTGAGCTTTGCAGAAAAGAGTGCCGGTGAGATGCTCTCTGGGCCTGAACTGCACTCGTGTCGGAGGTCTAGGACTTGTCGTCTTATCACAAGGGGAGGTCCTAGGCTTCCTGACATGATACAGAGACTCAAAACAGGCTCTTTGGTGTGAGGGCTGTGGAATGCCAACTATTTACACCTAAGTTTCTTTCTTTCTCTCTCACCGCAGAGTTATCGGAAGAGAGGGGTTCCCACCCCAGGCTCGAGCGCACCCCATTCTTGGAGTGGATTTGGCTGACAACTTGGCCGTGGCTCGTCTCTCTCTCTCTCTCTCTCTGCAAATAGACCGACAAATTGACAAATGAACACCTGGAGATATTGACTGTATTGCTTACTTAAATTGTGTATATATATATACATACATACACACACATAAAACTATATGCATAACGGCAATGTATGAACTATACCTGCATCTGACACATCAAACATCTACCGAAATCACTTGGCAACGCACCCAGCAGGCCTGCCACCATCGTCGCGTTTGGAATGCTCAGGGACTGCTCCTACTGACCAGGCCGTCTCAGGGTCGAGGTTCGAGGGCGGAGGGTTCGAAGGTGTAGTGCTCAAGGCCTCGGGAGGATTTTTTCCGGGTATGAGGATTGGGGGCTATTCTGCGGCGGTCCTGCATGCCGTGCGTAAGACTTGGGGGGATTACTGTTTCGATGGTTTCGGCAGGAATTACGCGGCTTTCTCCAAAAACGAACTGGCCCACATCCCACATGCCAAGAAAGCCAAAGCTTCAATGAGCTTCTGAGGTATCACTTCCGGCTCTGCAAGGGGTCCTCAGCGGCACGTCTCGTGTCTCAAGCTACGGCCCTTTTGGCCGTGTGCGAACATTTTCAATCAGTCTGTGCGTTGCGAAAGGGCTCTGGGACGATCTGCATCCTGGGAGACGACAAGATATTCTCTCTTCAAGGGTTTGTCCAGGGCGCACTGCTCTGGGAATCTAGTCGGTCTCGCATTCTACCGTCATTGACCTTGAGCCAAGGAAAGAAGTTGTCCGACACAGCTAGCAGATGCATCTCACCTCATCTTCGCGACCCCCGATAGGCTGCCACAAGTGCTGCGGTGCTGCAGAACTCGAGCCTTACTTCCTCTCTGTCTGAATAGGCGATGCCATGGCGAGGTCTGCTAGTCGAATTCTACGGAATAAGGCATGGCAGTAGCGCAACTGGCAGCTCTTCTGCTGGCTGCGCTGTGAGACTGAGGGATTTAGGCACCGCGCTGAACAGTTCCCTCTTCGAGCTTCATGACGTTGATTTGGGCTCGCGGACTGGATGCAGAAAAGCAAGGTGCAAGAGGAAAGTTGCGCGAATTCCAAGCTCCGAAGGCAGATGCAACAGAAGCAAGCGTCTAAAGCTCTTGCGAGGAGGACCCGACCGGCGCTAGCTGCACCGGCTGCTTCAAGACGGGCGATGGAGCATCCTCCAGCAGCTCCCGGGATGAGGTGTTCCTGAGGAAAGCCGGCCAAAACTGTGCCCTAGGGAACTTCCTAGTTCGAAACAAGGTTGGAATGTTGGGTACCTTAATGAAGACCCCTATATTGCTGACCCACGGCTTGGAGCACCGGGGGCTTCTATCCTGGACCCTCATGGCATGCACCAGCAGCCCAGAGACCTCCCCACCTCCAAACCAAAGCCCGCTTTAACGCCAAACCCGCACTCTAAAGCGCCAAACTTCCCCCTCTTACCGAGGGGCTGCCGCGGGCCGGGCATGCCCGGTGGGGGCCCCGTCACGGCCCCAAGGGCCGGAGGTGGAGATGGAAGCTGCGCCGTCGCCTCTTCGATGCGGTTCTCGGAGTTTTTAGGGGCTCTAGGGGGCTTTAGGGGGCTTTAGGGTGCCCTTCAGAGGGGTCATACGGTTCGGGGTTTTGGGGGTTTAGGCTTGTTTTTGTTGGCAGGAACCTTGGGGTTTGACGGTTTTTGGGGTTGTAGGGTCTGGGGTTAAGGGCTTCGGGCTTCGGCGCTGGGACTCTCACGGCTGGTCATATCAAACAATGCAAACCACACGGGAATGAGGCGCTCTTAGGCTTAGGAGCCTTGTGGGGGCTCATAAGTCAGCCTTTTTGGGCTTTCGAAGTTTGGGAGTTTGGGCATTTCGTAGGGCTCAAGTCAGGCGACTGGACTGCAGAAGGCCACAGGCAAGGAAGCCGGTGCCGGAGTACAGGAGGTTAAGTTTAGGCTTAAGGCTTTTGAGGGAATCTGTTCTTGCAGGGTTAAAGTTCGGATCGAGGTCGGTCATGTGCCGGTTTAAGGGTTCAGGGTCTACGGTGCCCGTTCCAGATGTATGGCCACTAGGGCTTGTATTCTATAAAGGCCTGCAAGATTGGTTTAGGGGCGTCTGAGTCGCTGACAAGGAAGTCTTGGTGGAGCAAAGTCGAAGGCTATTCAGCTGCGGGTTCGGGAGTCTATAATAATGGGAGCCTTAAAAAATTAGAACAGAGTTCTGGGCTCCTTTATAATATAATGGGGAACCCTAAGGGGTAACATTTGTAATATTATTTAGGCTTCTATATATCACAGGTTTAAGGGGCTTTGCTTTGAAAACGCCTAGCTTCTATGGTTGTCAAGTCCCGGAATCTCGGATCCCGGAGTCGTGTTGGGGGTCTCATGTCATATGGGGCCTAGTAACCTAATACCTTGTGAATCGCTCCTCTAAGCCTTTGGCTAGCTTCGAGCATTTCTCGATCAAGTAGGAGCGACATTTTCCATGTCCACTACAGTAACGAACTCTTGGTGCCGACTCCTGCCCAGCGGTTCAGGATGTAGGATTCTATTTAGAACCCAGGCGGTCCCTGAAGCCTGCACATCATTCACATCGAAACAAGGCGGGAGAAACATTGTCTGAATCCTGGACTGCCGAAGCAAAGCATGCAAGCCAAACTTAGTTGTTAGATCCTGCGTCCTCCAAAGCTTCGCCCCAAACCCTGAACCCGAACTCTGCTGCATGAACTGGCAATACAAAGCCCTATACCTACTCTCGGAGTGTCTCGCCTTGCTCTCAGCCCTGCAACGGAAGTCTTTCACGAACCTATAGAACCATTGACCCTACAGCTCCCGAAACTACCACAAATGAATGCGGACCCGTATTTCAACACGAGTCCTGAAACCGAATCGAGCTCAGAAGAAGCCCGTCGGCATCACTCTAATAGCCGTATAGAACACATCCATCCAACGAGCAGTAGAACACAGCCATATCCAACGCTTGCCCGCGCCTGCCCGCCTTTGATCGCCCCTTTCTCCGTCCCCGGGACGAGGGTTGAAAGCCTCGAGGAGAGATCCCGGACCTCGGGGGCTCTGGCTTTCGACTTTTTTGGGGCTTTTGTCTGTGCGCGTGTGTGGTCTGGAATAGGGCTTTTGGTGTAAGACGGTCTAGTGTCTAGTTATGATAAAGAGCCGTACATAAAGCATAACGTCGGAAGTTATTCGGGCTCCTTTTGTCCTCCGGACCCTGGAAAGGAAGTCACCGTTCGGCAAGCATGACTCGTGTGTCGAAATTTGGGGAGTTGGATAAAAGGGCCCCTAATATCTTCATAGGGTGTGGGACTACTATAGTATAAAAATGCAGGAACCACAACAGTCCTATTACCAGTTATTCCGGCGGCTGCCATACATCCCAAGGCAAAGTGCAGAGAAAGCCCAGTTCCATCCGAGAAGAAGCGGCTCAGGATTTCGGGTTTGGGGGTTTGGGGTTTCGTCGCCCGCGCTCAGACAAGCCAGGCTAGGCTCTTGGTGCTTAGTCGATTGAGGTGAGGCATGTCTCCAAGGTTGTGCAATCAACTTTGATTCGGATCTCGAACATCGTTGGGGCTTGGTTTTGAAGGGAGCCTCGATATCGGTGTAGGGTCGGTTCAGGGTTTCGACTCGCAGACTCGCAGAGGGCAGGCACGGATGCATGGGTCGGATCCGAAGGGTGTGGGGTTCAAGTACAGCAGCTACGGCTATACCATAGCCACAGCCGTAAGAGTCCTCGTCTGATCCTGGTGTACATCGAATACCATAGCACATAATCGCAGATTTATAGATCACTCGGCTTCCAGGCATCCGAAAGGTTTCAGCAGGGACGAGACCCCAATCCAGAGCCCCGGTAGTAGGATCCAGATAAAATCATGCACCGAAGGTTCCGAGATCCTGATGGGCCTCAAACTTCTTGCCTCGCTCTGACATAGCCAAGGCACCTTCCGCTGAAGCGAGCTCTTCAACATCCGCAGCTGGTTCAGCTCCTGGAGACATCGGGGTTTCGGTTTGGGGTGATATGATCTCAACAACTGCAGCCCCCAGCCCCCCTCAAAGGAAGGCCCAGGCCGTGTAAGACCACAACCTCTACACAAAACACCTTTAATAATTTCATATTGTAATGAGTTTGTGCTGAACAGCCGGGCTGATATCCTGTCAAAGCGACTTACTGCACTGTCCTCTCAAATGCTTGAGCCTGCTGTATTGTGCAACTGAAGCATTCTACGAGGATTCATGCTTCTACCTGGGAGAGCGAGAAACGTTGCTAAAAAGAAGGAGACAATGAAAGCGACACAGAAACATAGAGAGAGAGAGAGAGAGANNGAGAGAGAGAGAGATAGAGAGAGAAACAGTCACCGAGACTGTTGGGATTGCTTCAGCGAGCTGCGGTGTTCGTCACAAATTGTCTATACAGACCACAGCACCCTAGGTCTGTTCGACTTGACCGAAACTTAGCTAAGGCCGAATACATGCGCATTCTGGAATAGCTCCTGCACCAGCGTGGCATTCTCGTTGGCCTTCGTCTGCCTGAGCCGCTTGCTTTGGCACGGGCACCCACGCATGTGAAAGCGTGGAGCCCAACCAATTCAGGCCGACTGCTTCCTTGCTGGCGCTTCTCAGCTTTGGGGATGCCAGCTGCATTCACAAGCATCCGTTTTTGTGCAGTAAGACAACAAGGAACTGAGCCACAGAGACCCAGAAACCTCGGAAAACCGAGCGGCAGGTCGAGTTTGCCCATGGCCCGGATCTGGTTGCCCTTGGCCGCCAAGCCTTAGCCGCACCCGAAACTGTATCGAATCCGGGCTACCGATGCCTTCAGGGGGACGACTCGACCATGGAGAACGACAAGCCGTTGGAACCCGTTCCCCTGTGAGGACATAAGAACGCAGACCTCGCTTGACCTGAACTCCAGGCATACAAACGGTACATATCCACACTACGTGACTACGTACTAGGTCTCCTGCTTCCTGTGCGTCCTTCCTTCAGGATCCGAAGCTGGACCCTAAAATATATCAAACCCCACAAAATCCTAAAATTTGAGGAAGCCTAAAGGATACCGTAGGGGCTGCATCAACCCGACCAGGAGGCTGGTGACCTGCCTCTCCACCACGCGCATCTGCCGCAGCATATCCTACATGACAACAGCCGCACGCAGGTTGCCCAGTTGAGCCCGAAGATTTGGGAGTTTCCGAAAAGAAGGG